GGCACTTCTATCAGTACCCTTATGGATATATTTTTTTAAAGGGAGCTAAATGTTTCCAGCACTGATATTTTAATCCTTTTTCTTTGAGGAGAGTAGAAGGTTTAATTTTGTAGTAATTAAATTTGTTCCATGATAATATGCACACCTTTATTCAGGGGACCATGATGGTATGAGTGATAAGTAAGTTCACTCTCAGAATTTTTGTGGCATGTCTGGGAAATGAGGAGTCAGAAAGCTAATAAAAGTTTTTTCAGTTATGATAAGGTAGTTATCCATTTAAAAGTACTGGAAGGCTGAACAGTTAAAAGCTTGGAAGTGGGGGGAAGAATTGTGTACTCTCTACTTGTATCAAAAATAATTTAAATCAAATTTGGTTTAATTTTAGCAATAAAAACTTAACTGAGTCTTGCATTAAAAAAATTAAGACATGAATGTTAAACACAAAAATAAGTTTATAGTATATAAATTGTCAAGTGTTGTTTAAACACAACTAAATGCACCCCCCTTTTTTTATTTCTTGGTAACAGTATTCTTTTTTCTTCCTTACAGACACTGTACCATGTGAAAACTGAAATTTTTCCACCACTGGGGACAGAGTACTGTAAAACAGGCTCACTATGCTCCTTAGAGGTGTCCATCACTCGTCTTGTTGACCTCTCAGAAGTTGACAGAGATGAAGCATTAACAGAATCAGATGGGTATTGCACAACAAAACTTATGTATGAAGGTAAGAATATTTTTTTCAGTCTCAATAATGTCACCGGCCAGACTTCCTGTGAAATACATTCTTGTATTGTGATTATGACTTCCCAGTTAAGCAGTTTTCATTTCATTAAGGGTGAGAGTTGTGATTTAACCCTGGTAGGCAGGTAAGTACCACAGAGCTGGTCTCTCACTTCTCAGAAGGCTCAGGGTGAGAATCAAAAAGATAAAACTGAGAAAACTCATGGGTAAAGATAAAGACAGTTCAGCAACTAAAGTAGAACAACTAAAGTAGAAGATGCGTGCACAAGCAAAGATAGATAACAAATTTGTTGGATTTACTTGTAAGGAATTACTTGCTATCCACACGCAGAAGTTCATCTGCTTCCAAGAAATCAGGTCTTTATCATATATAATGGTTACTTGGGAATATAAGCAATGTTACTTCAGATGTTCCCCACCTCCCCTTTCCCCTGGCTTTTATTGCTGAGCAAGGCACCATGTGGTATAGAACATCCCTTTGTTCAATCTGGGCCAGCTGCTCTGGCTGTGTCCCCTCTTAGCTCCTTGTGTGCTCCTGGCCTCTTTGGTGACAGCATGAGAGGCAGAAAAGCCCGTGATTCTGTGCAACTACTGCTCTGCAACAGCTAAAACATCAGTGTGTTACCAGTGCATAGCAAACCCACAACCAGCTTCGTATGAGCTACTATGAAGAAAATTAACTCTATCCCAGCAAAAAACAGGACAGTGAGAGTATTTTATTTTTTTTTGTTAACCTGTCTTCAAGTGTAAGTGCTACTCAGGCTGGTTGAATGATTGTTTGAGGCAATGGTCCCTTTGGTGTAGGGCTGTTTTCTTACTTTGCACAGCTCTTATAGAATCACAGAGTGACTTGGCTTGGAAGGGACCTTAAAGCCATCCAGTTTCAACCCACTAGTGCAACCCACTAGATCAGATTGCCCAGGGCCCCAGCCAACTTCACACAGAAAATCCTGTGAGTTTTTAGATACTGTAAAAATACTGATTTTAAAGTGTTCTGAAACTATACTGGAGGTTCTTTTTTTCCAAGATTTTTGTAGTGTCTTTTCTTTGTTCTTGCAGTTGTTGACAACAGCAGTAACTGGGCAGTCTGTGGAAAAAGTTCTGGAGTGATATCTATGCCTGTAGCAGCTCAAGCAACTCACAAAGTCCACATGGAAGTGATGCCACTGTTTGCTGGATATCTACCCTTTCCTGATGTCAGATTATTTAAATACCTCCCTCATCATTCTGCTCACTCCATGCAACTTGATGCTGGTAAAGCTATCTTGAATACATGGCTTCTTAGAGAAATGATTCTGCTTCTTCCATGTTCTTGAGTAAAGAGAAAAGCAAGGCAAGGAAGTGTATTGACCAAGTACCCTTAGATGTTTTTTGTATTGATCTTCTTTTATTGTTCTAATTTGAAACATTTAAGGTGCAGCTTTAGCAGAAGGTTTGATTTCAGGTTGCAGTCTTAACATGTGAGGAGAAATAATAGACACATTCTTTTTTTACTTCTTTTCTTACTTCATTTAAAGATTCTGCTGCAAATTAGTTATCACTTAATTTTTAATCAAGTGAACATTGATTTGATAATGAAACTTCAGGATTAGAAGATTGTCCCTTAACTGCACACCTCTCACATCTCTGTTAGTTTTGAAAACACAGTTTTTGTAAGAACCAACTAGAAATAGAAGTACTGAGAACTTGTGGCATATAAACCATGTCAAGGCTTGAACTACGAGTGACCTTGAGATTTTTATTTGTACTGTTGAATAGCTCCAGAGCTCTAGCACACAACTTACCATTTGTCCGTAGCACTCCTGGAACTGCCAGTGTGCAGTCTTCTAGTTTATGACAAATGTGAGGTAACGTTACTCAAATTTTTCACATAAACCAATATAATTCACACTGTTGAATCTGCTGCTTGCCAAACTTGAGCAGACTGTTACCTCAGCAGAGATGTTCAGTAACTGTTAACACATGGTAAGTTGACTGTGTGTCTGAGTTCTGAAATAATTTTGAGTTACTTAATCACTTCACAGAATGAAATTGTGGGTTTTTGTTTTGAACAGATAGCTGGATTGAAAATGATAACCTGTCTGTGGACAAGAATGTGGATGATCAAGCTGACAGCAGCAGCATAAGGAGCAGAGGTAGCTTGCATTCTGCAGCTAGTGGGGAACACAAAGGTTTGCCAATGCCCCGTCTGCAATCCTTTTCATCTGGTCAGGTCTTCAACTGCAGCACGGGTATGCAAATACTTGTCATTCCCAGCAAGGACGACCATGTTCTCGAAGTCAATATCACGTGACGACTCGGTATAAGAACAAGGAAAAAACAAACAAAAAACATTAGAAACTGGATATGAAAGCACTTTAAAGGATTATGACCTGATTAGTCTTTGTTGCAACATTTTAACGCTAAAGAAACCTATGGCACTCAACATTTACTGGCCATGGAAGCACCAGACAATTGTATCAATTTAAATGTACAGTGAAGCTTGTGTCAGCTAGTTTATATTGCCACTTTAATATGTTTTGTGTGAGCTATTGGGTTTTCTCCTTTCAGTCACATCCCGCATCTCAACACAGGGCAACAAAAACAAAATAAATCCAAATATTTGGACCACTTTTTTATTTTTGTCTGGCAGCTGATAGCTTAGTTTAATGCTTCCTACATATTTTAGAGTTAAGATTTGGGTGACACAATTATCCAAATCTTGGAATTTTATGTAATTTACAGGCTTTTCCACATGTGCCACAAGTACAGCAAAGCATACAACAACTTGTTCATCGACTTAATAGTTGCTTTCCTGATTTTTTTTTTTTCTTTTAGCATTGTTAATTCCTGTCATTGCAATCTTATATTGAACTTCCATCGTTTGCATACTTAAATGCATGGAAGCACTACTGCTATAAACAATCTTAACTGAACAAAATTCCTTAATTTTTTTGAGGCTTTCTCCTTCACAGAGTATACACTGTGATGTCACATATTATATGGTTTTATTTTTTTGGGGGTGGGATGGGTGGGACATCCTCTTGCATAGTTCTTACCAAAGAAAGATACTGATAGAATTTAATAATAAATTATTTGGCTTATTGAGTTCCCAGATTCATTTCTTTTATTAGCATTTCTAAGTGGCTTGGTTTTCTGCTCCAATTTTGAAATTGGGGCAAAAATTTCAGTATGAGATAATACTTGAACAGTCAACCTTTCATCACGAAGGCTTAGTGTAATTATTACTGATTAGAGGCCAGGCTTCCGCATTCATGGGGGAAGAAAGAGGTTGGTTTGATATAGGAAAGCTTGCAGATGTAGAATAATTGTGAAGCAAAGTTAAAACATGTAACTTAAAGAATTTCATTATTTATATCTTGAAATGTAAATACAAAAAAGTGTTTAAAAGAGAAAGTGTAATTTTTGTGAATGTTGCAAATTCACCTGTGACTGGAAAAATTACAACTCCTGATGTCCTGCTTCTGGTATTGAAACTTGTGCATTTAATGTGAGAATGACCTTTTCTACTTGCAGTTCAATAATGGTGCATTGTGAACAGACTCCACAGAGGAAAACCATCCCATATCAGATATTTGTCAGTAAAGCTAAACTTATTAGGGAAAAAAAAAACCAAAAAAAAAAACCCCAAAACAGCTCATTAGGCAAATCATTTTTTTTGTTTGTTTGTTTTCCTTTTTCTAAACTCAGGTTCTGCTAAATTACAAAGGGGAAGGAAAAAAAACCCTCTTTCCAAACTGAATTGCAGTTAAGGAGTGAAAGGATACCTTACATTGTTTTTGTTTTTGTTTTTATTTTTATTTTTTTTTTAAACAATGTCTAAATAGATGTAAAAAGTAGATCTGCTAGCTGAAAACGTTACTGTTACGCATCTTCTTTCTGTGAAGGAATGCCCTTTCTCTGTGGAAATCATACCATTTTGTTCTGGATAAAACCCAAAGCATCATTTAGTGTGAGTGAATGGCTGCTGGGATTCTTTGACTGGAAAAGGTAACGAGTTTGTGACTTTGACACTGCAGGTATTCTAATTGATTCCATTTTCATGGTTTGCTATTAAATCATTTTTCACATCGTTCTGTAATATACTGTTAGATTAAACACATTGTACTAAGATTGTTTAAGGAAATTGTAAGCGTTACAGTTCTAAATATACATGTTTTAAAAAGAAATCCAAGTTCTCTCCTGCTGTGACTGTTTTTATTTTAAGAAGCGATGATTCCATCTCCCTCTAGCCCAAGCTGCTTTCCTTTAGAAAGGCAGCCCGTTGTTTAGGTGAAGGTAACGTGTGAGGCTGTAGGAGGGGCAGCGGCTTCGTGTCCTGCTGCAGGTCCCTGTGACGGGCCGGGCTCCTGACCCGCACGGTTCTCCTGGGTCTAAGGCGCTTTTAGCGCGAACCCCGATAGGAGCAGCGCAGCTGAAGCCATATATACGAAAGCGTAGGGGCGGGGCGGAGAGCCCTCTGTCAGTCACCGATTCCCGCCTTCAGCGCGGAGCCGTTCCTTCCCCTGCGCATGCGCGCTGCTCTCTCGCTGCGTAGCTGGGCGCGCCGGCAGCGTACGATCCACGCGCTCTGCGTGCCGCCATGAAGTTCGCTTACCGGGTGAGTGAGTGAGTGAGTGAGTGAGTGCCGCTCGGCGGCCCCTGCCTCTCCCCTTCCCCTCTAACCGTCCACCTCCTCTCCTCACAGTTCTCCGGCCTACTGGGCACCGTGTACCGCCGCGGGAACCTCAACTTCACCCGCGATGGCAGCTGTCTCATTAGCCCCGTCGGGAACAGGATCTCTCTCTTCGATCTGAAGAAGTGAGCGAGACCTGGCGGCCGCCACTCACCTCCTGCTGCCCTTTTCCCCCTGGGACAACGTGCGGGGTTGCTGTGCGGCCCTCCGGCACAGCATGAAACAGGCGTGAGCCGGCAGCGTGCGCTTGCAGCCCGGAAGGCCAGCGGCGTCCTGGGCTGCATCCCGAGAGAGGTGGCCAGCAGGGAGAGGGAGGGGTTGTACCGCTCTGCTCCTGTGAGGCCCCGCTTGAAGTAACGCGTCCAGGTCTGGGGTACTCAGCACGAGGAGTGGAGAGCTGTTGGAGAAGGTCCAGAGGAGGGCACAAAGATGCTCAGAGAGCTGGAGCACCTTTCCTGTGGAGTCAGGCTGATGGAGCTGGGCTTGAGCTGTCTGGAGAAGAGAGGGCTCCAGGGAGACTTCATCGCAGTGTTCCAGTACTTGGAGGGAACTTAAAAGCAGGAGGAAATCAACATAATACACAAACTGATAGTGATGGGATGAGGGGGAATGATTTTAAACCAAAAGAGAGGATGTTTATGTTAGACGTTAGGAAGAAATTTGTTCTTCAAGTGGCAGTGAGGCTCTGGCCCAGGCTGCCTGGAGAAGCTGTGGTGCCCCATCCCTGGAGGCGCTCAAGGCCAGGTTGGATGGGGCCCTGGGCAGCCTGAGCTGGTGGAGGTCAGCCCTGCCCACAGCAGGGGTTGGGACAAGATGATCTGTAAGGTCTCTTTCTATCCAAACCATTCCACAATTCTAGGCAGTAGGCCATGTTTCATTGATGCCAGAGTTAGCAGTCATTTCTGTGTTCTTGTACTCAATTTACTGTTTTTTCACGTCCTTGCAGTAATAAATGTGAAACGTTCCCGCTGGCCACACGGCACAACATTGTGTGTGTGGGGCTCTCTCCAGATGGAAGGCTTGCCATCCTTGTTGATGAAGGTACTTGCACAAATAATGTATTTGCTTTATAAAGGAATGAAATATAAGTACTGCATGAAAGCAGATGTTCAACCTTAGAACAGATTAGAAGTTCTCTGCTTTAACAATTAATTTAGATTTTCTGGGGAAGGTTTTTTAAAAAGCAACTGGTAACTTTGATTGCTTTTTTTGGCTTACATCATTATGCTATCTTAAGAAGTTTCTGAGGAGGTACTTTATTATTACTTTAATGGGGGAAAGCTAAGCTTGCTACCTAGGTTTTCTTTGGGCACTGAATAATTTCCTTATTCTCCTTCACAGAGGGAGCTGCCTTGCTCGTCAGTTTGATCGGTAAATCTGTGATACATCAGTTTCATTTCCACAAGCCAGTACACAGTGTCTCCTTTTCCCCTGATGGCAAGTAAGTGAAATGTGTGTGCTTTAAAGCAAAAGAACAGAAATTGCCTCATAAGCTGATTGTAATTATTAAAAAACATTCTGACCAACCAGGGAATTTTATTTACTAATTTTGGGCTGGACCAGGGCTACTTCATCAGTAGAGTTGAGAGGAGAAAAAAGAAGGAAAAGTAAAGCTTGGCAACAATCTGGGAAGGTGACTGTCATATATGTTGTCTGTGGTGGAACTTCTAGAAGCACAGAACGCTTGCTGTGAATCTTAAGTGTTCTTCCATGTTGTAGGGAAGGTGGAAAAATGTGGGGGACTTTCAGTTCATTGTGGAGTAGAGTTTTGCTGCTGGATTGGTTTAGTTTAAACAACTGTGTTATTATAAGGAACAGTTCTCTGAATTGAGTGGTTCTTTTCATGTCCCTTATGCTTTAAGTCCATGGTCACTGAGCCAAAGTGTTGCGATATGAGATTGTGGGAAGCATCAAAGAGTAAGAGGAAAAGATGCAGACTTCCCTTTTGGTAGTATTTCTCAGTTAAATTGACTTGAGATGATTGTAAATGAATTTTTTGCTTGGAAGTTGGAATTGCAGTTCTGTGTTAGGGAATTACACCGGCTGTGGGGCAACTGTAGAGGATGTGTGTAACAGAAATGCACGTGCTTTGTGCAAGTGGCTAATATACGGAGAAGAAGAGAGATTGAAATAGGATATCTGATTTTGAATGTTTGTAATTTACCTTCCTTTTCAAGAATTAGTGAATAAATGTTTCATTATTCAACTTAATTGATTTTTCCAAAAGTTTTCTGTTGCTTAGTACCTGCATTCTTGAAGTTGAGGGAATAGAAGCTATCTGCAAATAAGTGTTTGGCTTTGATTCTGAAGTATTTTGTATTTATCACTTCTGTAAAACAGAAACCTTTTTAATCTTATGTTGTTCTGTTTTATTGCAGTCAGTAGTGAAAAATAGCTTCCTTTAGTAGCTTTGCCTGCAATTCTGCTTTTTTTCCTTTATGACAGGAGGTTTGTGATTACAAAAGACAATGTTGCTCTTCTGTACTACGCTCCTGGGAAGAGACGAGAATTCAATGCATTTGTTCTGGACAAAACTTACTATGGCCCATATGATGAAACAACTTGCATTGACTGGACTGATGATTCCAAGTGAGTTAAACTGAAATGCTGTCTACCTGCTCACTTTGTTAACATTATTTGCATGTATGTGTGTATTTTCTTTGCTGTAAAGTGATTCTAGCTTTAAAATTTGGATTATGCTTCAATGAAATACTGTATTATGTACCTCACATACATACTATATATATAGTGTATATAGTATGTAAATACTGTAGGTAGGCAGACTAGAAGGTATGAAATAAGCATGTGTCAGGGACCAGTGGTGCATTCTTGCTTGAAAATGTACAGTCATTCAGAAAAGAAACGTGTTTCAAGTGTGAACATGGTTGACTCTTTGAGTGTATTTGATCTCATGTATCTTTGCAAGAGTACTAATTTTAGTTTACTAACCTCACATGTAAAATTACTATTGAAGTGCTGACTTGTCGTCTTATGCAGGATGTTCTGCAGCCAGTGATGGTCTTAAAAACCAGTGTTCTAACTCAAATTGCTTTTTTTTTTTTTTTTTTAAAGATGTTTTGCAATTGGAAGCAAGGACATGTCTACGTGGGTTTTTGGTGCAGAGAGATGGGCAAACTTGATATATTACTCACTTGGTGGGCATAAGGATATAATAGTAGCCTGCTTTTTTGAAGAGGACAGTCTCGATGTATGTATATAATGATACTACATTCCTGAATTTAAGTGCTAAAGTAGCTGAACTACAGTCTTATCTTTAGGAAAGGATGTGACTATACTGCTATCACAGAATGGCCAGGGTTGGAAGGGACCTCAAAGATCATGAATCTCCAACCTCTCCTGCCACATGAAGGGCTACCAACCTTCCTATTTAATACTAGATCAGGCTGCCCAGGGCCCCATCCTACCTGGCCTTGAACACCTCCAGGGACGGGGCATCCACCACCTCTCTGGGCAGCCTGTGCCAGCACCTCATCACCTCTCATAGTAAAGAACTTCCCCCTGACATCCAACCTAAATCTTCCCTCCCTCAACTTAAAACCATCTCAACTCATTTGCAGTGATCACAAGTTTAAAATTCCTTGAGTGTTGCAAGAAGTAAATATTAAAACGAGAGTAAGTGATTGAAAGCCCTGCTGCCACTCCCACTCCCCGCTCCCCCCCCCAAAAATAAACCAAAACAGTTACAGCTACAGCTTTAATTATGAAAGAATTAATTAGCTGTAATTCCAACTGGTAATAAAATTGCCTAAGTAAAATATAATCCCAATGCTAAGAGTGTAGGCTTCCTATCCCTTCGGCAATTGTGTGATCATTAAAACAGGGCAAGAGCTTTCAAAGAAGTCTGTTACGTGATAATAGTATATTTTTATTTCTGTTCTAGCTATACACAGTTAGCCGGGATGGAGCTCTCTGTGTGTGGCAGTGTGACACAGAGCTTGATGGTCTGAAGCCCATGCCCCCTAAAGAAGCTAGGCAAAAGAACAGAGTAAAAGATGATGATGGATTTCTTGAAGAACCCAAGGGTGAAGAAATTCATGGAAAAGCCAATCCAAATGAACAGGAGATAAGAGAGAAGGTTAAATATACACGTGTGGCAAAGTAAGTGATTTTTATTTATCCAAAACCAGACTTTTTGTGGAAGTTTACTATGTTGGGCTGTTTTCACCATTTATTACTCAGAGTAATGCAGAACTGTCCAAGGTTTAGAAATGTATCATAATAAATAGTTTTCAGTACAACACTTTGTTTGTCTCACCTTGACTGTATGAAAGATGGTACCTTCACATTCAGAATAAGTCAGCATAAAATTGTCAGTACAGTGTCCTTTAATTAAGTCTAGAGGCTGTGAGGTATTGCAAGGTTGCCTGACTTGAAGAGGTGATGCGATAGCGATGTTAGGTAAAGATGGCTCATAAATCTCTTTGGTAAGCTACTCAGAGATGCCTTTCTGAACTATCTCCCTGTCTGTCCACATCAAATGAGATATATTTTACAAGCAGTAATCTGGTCTTAAGATAGTTGTTGCTTTTAGCTTTGCCGAAAAGAGCACAATGTTTATAAGGAAACTAGTCAGTAGGTGAGGGAGAGATGGGATTCCAGAAGGGGTAATTAAGAGCTCTAGACATCAGGCTTCTCTTCCCAGTTTCTCTGATTGTAAAGAAGGTGTATGGAAAGTGCCCTACCCCAGACTGTTGAACGTGGCTTCTGTGAAGCATCATTTGCAGGCAACAAAGGAATTTGAACATTTGAGTAATGTTCAGCACCATCATGGGGTGCTTATACTTTTAATTTCAGTAGGAGTTATACCTGCAAAGAAATGGAGAAAACCTTCTTCACTAGACAAATGGTATTCATGACTATGGTCTCCGTGGGAGGCTCACACATAGTAGGATAACCAGTGAATTTGTGAAAACCACCTGTGATGATCAGAGGTAAATGCACAGTGCAATTCCTCTGAGCTTAACTTTAGTCCCTTTTGTTGCATATGGTCAGCTGTCACTTCTGATAGTAAGACTACAGTAGCAGCTGTAAACATTCAGGAAGAGAAAAGGGAAGAGAAGAGAATCTTTTTTCATGAACTATAGGAAGTATACATATAACAAATTTCCAGAACTAGTGCTTTTGAGGTTTGTCATAGGATACTGTTGAAATACTTGACCGTTGTTGAAATGGAGTTATGAGAGCATTCTTTTCTTTTACACTGTTTGCTTCTCTCATTTCTTTGATGCCCAGGTATTTTTTCAATAAAGAAGGAGATTTTAATAACCTGACATCTGCAGCTTATCACAAGAAAACACACCTGTTGGTCACTGGTTTTGCTTCTGGAATCTTTCACCTCCATGAGCTTCCAGATTTCAATCTGATACATTCCTTGAGGTGAGACATAGGGGTTAATGGTTGATTTGGGAGTGAGGGCTGTTGGTTTTTTGTTTTGGTTTGTTTGTTTGCTTGAGAAGACACTGTATTTACTAGTAATAGATTAATATTGGAGCACAAAAATCTTACATAGGAGCATGGATTTAGTGCTGTAATTTCTGGAAAGGCAGAATCATAGGTAAACTTTTGTTCAGTTTTGGGCCCCTCACTAGAAGAAGGATACTGAATTGCTGAAAAATGTTCAGAAAAAAGCAGCAAAGCTGGTAAAGGGACTAGAAGATGATGTATGAGGAGTGGCTGGAGGAACTGTGACTGTTTAGTCTAGAGAAATAGAGACTGAGAGGAACCGTATTAGTCTACAACTGCCTGAAAGGTGCCTGCAGTGAGGGAGAAGTTGGTCTTTTAGGTGACAAGCAATAGGATGTGAGGAAATGGCCTCAAATTGTTCCATGGGAGATTTAGATTGGATATCATGAAGAATTTCTTCACAGAAAAGGTGGTTAGGCATTGGAATGAGCTGCCCAGGAATGTGGCGGAGTTCCCATGCCTGGAAGTAACCAGATGTGTGGATGTTGTGCTTAGGGGTGTGCTTTAGTGATGGGATTGATAATGCTGGTGTCTATTAAAGTTCTTTTCCAGTCTAAAGAATACTATGATAATAAATACTAAGCAGTTCTATTGTATAGTTCATTACAGAAAAGTGAGGTCTGAATGAGAAACTCCTAAATAGTAGTTGTTGGCCTAGATTCCTACAATGCTTTGAATTTTCTGTTATTAGTTTCTTTGTAGCAAATAAAGCTAACAGAAAAAGAAAATTAAAAAAATATATCAGTGTATTGAAAGTAATTTATAAATTGTACCTAGGTTGGAGAAAAACGTGGTTGTTTTTTTTTTTCCTATTGCTGTATGAGCCTAGCAATAGAATGCATAATTTTTTTGTATAACGGAAAAGAATCCACAGTTTTTTGTTTTCTTGAATTTGGGAAGCTCTGCTCTGTTATTGACAAGTGTGTCTTTGTTTGGGATATGGATACTCTTGTCTTCATTGTGAAAAAGGCAGTATCTGTTTGATATTCCTGAGTATAGTAAAGGAACATTTGAATGCTGCTTTTGATGTTACAGTAATACATAAAAAATCAGTAAAGTATTCAACGTCTTCTTGAACAGAGGAAATAAATTCCAGTTTCTCAGGAGTTTCAAGTTTTATCTCACAAGGCTTGAAAATGCAAGTTAATTTTCTTTCTTTAGTATTTCAGACCAAAGGATAGCTTCTATTTCTATCAACTCTTCTGGTGACTGGATTGCTTTTGGATGTTCAGGTTTGTAAACTGTTTGATCTGTATTCATGGAAAAATGAGGAATGCTGTGGCAAACAAATCCGCAATGTCTGGATATAGTAAAGTATGTGTCCCTAATCAGTTTGTCCTCACAGAGTTCTTGTGACTCACAGAACTACAATAAAAACAAATAAAGCCTGTATTCTTTGAATTACAACTCTTCATTAGTAATGTAGTTCATAGTACACTCTTTTTTTGGGCTTTAGTCTCTCAAGTGTAGCCACTTCTTCTGATACATGGTGTTTTACAAAGTAAGCTGTTCATATATCTGTTTCCACCCAGTCCTTAATGGTTAGCATGGTAACTAAGTTTATATCTTCATGCAGCCCTGCTTTTCTTACTAGTTCATCTAGTCAAAAAATTAAAAGTAGGAAGTTGTCATCTCCTTTGCAGCCCTTGATGTTGAGAAGTGGAGGATTGGAAAGCTCCAAGCTACCTTGGTTATTCATTGCAGTGACCAGTTAATAAGGTCAATTGCCAGTTAGGTGACTACGGTAACTTAAAGATGAAATTGCAAAATGAACAAATGAATTGACATAAACAGGAAAACAGAGTTCTTTCCTAGCATATTTCTGATTTTTTGGCTGTTCATCAACACGCATCCATTTGTTACAAGAACTGTTAATAGCACTGTTGTAGTACTGAGGATGTTAAGCCAAGTGGCAGATTCTGGTCGTTAAGGAAATTAATCTTGAACTTCTGAAATGAAAATGACTTGTATTAAGATCAATATAGAGACATAATACAACCTGTTCACATCAACTTTTTTTATTCTTTGATTGTTAGATGCAAGTATGTGTTTTTTGGTGTGCGTTAGCAGGTTCCATCGTTGGATTCGTAATTCCAGTCAGTCCTTATGTGTTCACAGGTTTGGGTCAGCTCTTGGTGTGGGAATGGCAGAGTGAGTCCTATGTGTTGAAGCAACAGGGCCATTTCAACAGCATGGTTTCATTGGCTTATTCTCCAGATGGGCAATACATAGTAACTGGAGGAGAGGATGGGAAAGTGAGTGATACAAGATTACTGAATTATGAACTTAAGTTGTAAAAAGGTAGTAAACACCTTGAATTTCCATTGTGTGTATAAAGCTGTGTTACTGTAATTGATCCATATATTTTGCTGTCCTTGATTTTCTTGGAAGTTTTGATCTTTCTCTGCACAATATATGTTTTGATTTGTGCTTGGTATCCTCTGCAAATAGCATCACTTAAGCTTTTTAGCAGCTCTTTGTTGTTGTTGCTATTATATATGCAGTCACCATAAGCACAAAAAGTTGGTGTTAGTTTATATTTATCTATGCTGTTCCTTGATATATTGAGATGAATGAATTTCAGTCAACCAGATAATTAGTTTCAATGCAGACTTTATTTCAAATTGCTTATAAAAATATAATTCCTAAGCTGATTTTATCCTACAATGTACCATTGCTGAAGTTTGCTACTTAAAAGAAAAAATTTCATAAATAACTTGTATTGAGATGGAAGCTTAGGTGGACAGATAATTTTAAAGAAATATTAAGAGTATTTTTGAGGAGAAAGGATGTTTTGTAGAGTAATCGCAAAATCTCTTGGTTCTTAAATGTGGTGAAGATGGCATCTTCTGTCCATGACAAGTTTTGATGGAGAAAAAGAGAAGACCTGCCACTTCATAATGGCATTCATATTTAAAATCAACCAACCCCTATAAATCTCAGACTGCAGGTAGCTGAACTTCTAAGTTTTTTGTTTAGGGAAAATTTGAAATAACCTTTCACTTCTCCCAAATTGAAAGGTTATTTGGTGCTTGAAGTTGGCAGGTCGAAGTTTAAGAGTCTGAGATAGTGAGTTTTCCTTGAAATTTTAACTTTATTTCAAAAATGTTTTGTCTCCACTTAATTTCTGTGTTTATTTGCCTTTAGAGTTCTAATGATAAGTTGTAGCTCTGCCTCATTTGCGAAGAGTTTTTTCCAACTGTATTGGAAGTTCCTTATGCTGTTAAAGAGTTTGAAAGCTAGCTTTTCTTTACTCTTCTGTTTCCTTATATATTCCTTCTGAACTGATGGTGGAGATTCCAGGAAGGCTTTTCTGATCTCTCTTGCAGGTGAAGGTGTGGAACACTTCAAGCAGTTTTTGTTTTGTTACTTTTACAGACCATAGCAGTGGCATAACTGCTGTAACTTTTACTTCCAGTGGTTATGTCATTTTGAGTGCTTCCCTGGATGGAACAGTGCGGGCCTTTGATCTGCACAGGTAACTTTTCCTAAAGCTTTTGTGTATCATTTAGTTGTCTTTTTTCCCCACCCAAAATGCAACAAACTGATCATTGATGGTTTCTGTGAATGAGTTGCAAAACTATGAGTACCGCTTTATTGGTGTTAGTGCTTTTATTAGCTCAGCCTTTGATTCAAACTTAGTAATTAGAAATCTTGTCACCTCTATCCAATTTCTGTGAACAAAATTCTGGAGGAACTTTGACCTTACTGGATTTTCTCTGAGCATTCTCTGCTTCTACAATAAGTAGTATTCACCTATATAACAATGTTTGCCGTAGTTACAATGTTTGAGTCATTACAGTTCAACTGTGTACAAAACTGGCTGTGTAAGCAAGCCTGTGTTGTCTAGAGAATGGACATATGCTGTGTTATGGAAGAAAAATCCTCTGAGTATTTTGGGTGATTTTTTCCTACAAAATTAGTAATATTTATTTGAGTCCTGGACTCATACCAGGGCAGCTCTTTTTATGCAAAGGATATTTTTTTCTGTAGATAGTTTAAGAGACCTGAAAAGGAGTTCATTTGACTTAAAATAAATAAATAAGTAGTGTGTAAAATGTATTTTTAGATCTACTTGAAATGTGTTTTCAATTTATTTTCACATTTACAACAGGTACCGCAATTTCCGTACCTTTACTTCTCCACGACCAAGTCAGTTCTCTTGTTTGGCTGTGGACTCCAGTGGTGAGATTGTGTCAGCTGGTTCCCAGGATTCCTTTGAAATATTCATCTGGTCAATGCAGAGTGGGAGGCTGTTGGATGTAAGGACCCACAATGAATATTTGAGTAATGAGCTCTTTCTAGTTGCTGAAGTAACACAAATACTACTGAAGTATTACTATGCCACCACATTGGGAAAAAGTATTTTCACTCAACTAGTTGTTCAGAATTGTTTTTTTCTACATATTTTCTCAAGGAAATTAAGAAAGTGCACTATTATAAGATCAGTACAGATTGCAGGAAAGATTTCGTTGGTGCAAAGTAGGGGCGTGGTTTTTTTTTTTGTACAGTTATTTAGTTTGGAGGGTGGGAAACTATCAGTTTCAGTCTCCAGTGTCTTGCTGCTAGTTTGAAATTACTCTCTGTAGAGTACAGTTAATTATGGAGAGACACTGTCACTTGCTTTTTTCAGTTCTTATGCATTGTACATCTGATGGCAAATCAGATGAATTCAACAATTCATATATTTAATTTGGTGTAGATGTTGAATCACAGAATGGCCCGGGTTGGAAGGGACCTCAAGGATCATGAATTCCAACCCCCTTGCCACATGAAGGGCTACCAACCTCCCTATTTAATACTAGACCAGGCTGCCCAGGGCCCCATCCTACCTGGCCTTGAACACCTCCAGGGACGGGGCATCCACAACCTCTCTGGGCAGCTGTTCCAGCACCTCACCACTCTCACAGTAAAGAACTTTCCCCTGACATCCAATCTAAATCTTCCCTCCCTCAACTTAAAACCATTTCCCCTTGCCCTGCAGTTATCTACCCTCTCAAAGAGTTAACTCCCCTTCCGTTTATAGGCTCCCTGTAGGTACTGAAAGGCTGCAATGAGGTTACCCCACATCCTTCTTTTCTCCAGGCTGAACAAGCCCAGCTCCCTCAGCCTGTCTTCATAGGGGAGGTGCTCCAGTCCCCTGATCATCTTTGTTACGCTCATCTGGACCTCTCCAACAGCTCTCTGTCTTTCTTGTACTGGGGGCTCCAGACCTGGGCACAGTACTCCAGATGGGGCCTCACAAGAGCAGAGTAGAGAGGGCAATGACCTCCCTGTCTCCGCTGGCCACCCTTCTTCTGGTGGAGCCCAGGATACCATTTGCTTTCTAAGCTGCAAGAGCACGCTGCTGGCTCATGTTAAGCTTTTCGTCCGTCAGGACATTATTTCTATTGAGAGGAGTGGGAGCTCCATGCATGAAAAATACTTATTACTCTTTGCTCACAGTTCTTCTTTAGTGTTGCTCTCTTTCTGATAATAAGGCAGAGAGAGAAGACTATTCCTAAGTCTTCACCTCTATAAAGACTATGTGGATGCACGAGAGTGGTTATAGATACCTGTGCAGTGGTAGCACTTCAGCAATTTTCTTTTCAACTTACTTAAATAAAAAGTTGGGAATCAGTGGTATGTATATTCCTCATGTCCAAAAGTTACCTCGAGTGTGCATGGACAACTTAGGTGTAGTTTTATTGCTGTATTGAATTTTATTGCTGTATTGATAGTTTATTGAATGCACACCATATGAACTTCAGTTTCTCTTACCTACTTTCATGTTATCTTTTCTTTTATTAGGTTTTATCAGGTCACGAGGGCCCCATCAGCAGTTTGTCCTTCAACCCAATGAAGTGTGTTCTCGCTAGTGGCTCTTGGGATAAAACTGTCAAGTTATGGGATATGTTAGACAGCTGGAGAACTAAGGAGACATTAATGTTGAACTCTGATGGTAATCTCTACTTCATATTCTATCAAGTATAAAAGCATTATCAGAAATGATACAACTGTCTGTCAAATGTAGATGTTTTTTTTTCTTAATAATGGAAACAAAAGGTTGAGTAGTTCTCTGCAGTGCAAGAAATCCTTTTTATATGTTACCAGCTTTAGCTATATGGTTAGCTAAACATACGTATGTTGTCCAGAGAAGAAATACTGTGATACTTGTTAATCATTAGCTGCTTGTGGTAGTTGAGATGACATACTTGAAAAATATGGATATTTTGTTTTCTTAGATAAACATACACTCTTTTCCTAGAAAAAGTTCAAGCTGCATTTTAACTGTTAATTGAATTCTTTGCAGTACTTGTTGTTGCTTTTCGCCCCGATGGCAAGGAGCTTGCAGTTGCTTCTTTGAATGGACAGATAACGTTTTGGGATCATGAGAATGCAGTCCAAGTTGGCTCAATTGAGGGAAGACATGACCTTCAAATGGGAAGAAAGGAGCTTGATAAAATAACTGCCAAACAATCAGCCAAAGGGAAGTAAGTAAACGAGACAGAAGTTGAAAAGAGGGTGCCATGCTGGCATTTGCTTTAGAGCTGGGTTTTTCTTCCACTTATTTTTTACACAAAGATTTCAGAGTGCATCTACTGTTCAACTGTTTTGATTCTGATTCTGGATTTTGAAAGACTTCTGGTGTTGACATCTGGATGTACCTTTTGTAACTGTGTTGACCATCTGATCAGTGTCACTCTGACCTCTGTTCTCTTTCACAAGTTTGTGTTTCCAGCATAATATTAAGATTGTCATCATAAGTTTCTCACTTAACAAATGTGATGGGTCTTTAAAGTGGATATGTTATGTAAACATTATCTATTTCTGTGTAAGAAATTTTTTTTAAGTAAATGTAAATATGTTGTGGGATTATTACAAGTTACTATGTATGTGAAATAATTTTTAAAGGCAACTCGAATTTATTTGCTTTCAAATACTCTAATACAGATGTCTTGTGTTTCATTCCTCCCTTTTTCCATTGCTGCTCAAACCTCCTTTTTCCTTCCTGTTGTTTCCCCTCAAATCTAAATATCATTTTTTACAAACGTATTTTTTGGTGGTGAGCTCAACCACCTTCTTTCTCCACATACCTTGGTGTTTTTTTCTCCTCATCATTCTTAGTGTCTCACAGAGTATAATTGAAAGCTCATTTGCAGAGTTGCAGCAGGGCATCAGATGTATTGACGTACTTGAAAAAGCTTGAAGTTTTAATTTGCTTGTGATTCATACATAGTAAAGCACTGAAAGTATTTGATTGTGGTAAAATGTGTTAACATTTGATGTAATAATGAAGACCTCTACTACTTTTACAGTTGAATGATTTCTGTATCTTCACATTGCACTTGTGTCTTTTGGCTCGAAGTGGCAGTGAAATTAACAATTCTTTCTTTTTTTTCCACCAGATCTTTTACCACTCTGTGTTACTCAGCAGATGGACAGTCCATTTTGGCAGGTGGACTGTCAAAATTTGTCTGTATTTATAATGTCAAAGAACAGATTCTTATGAAAAAATTTGAGATCTCGTGCAACTTTTCGTTAGATGCAATGGAGGTATGTGGCTGTAGTGGTCAATTTCACCCCTTACTGTGCCAAAGCTTTGATTTTTGGATGTAACCTCTAATTTAAATAGGATCCCTGATTATTTTGATAAATGTGGATTTGTTTTCTTTGCTTTGTGCAGGAGATATAAGGAGAAGTTATTTCTTAGAAAACAAAATTGTTTCCTGAAATTTAGCTCACTAGAATCTTTCTGGATTACAATGTGTTTGTGCTAGCAAGCAAAATTCTTTTAAGCATAGTCAGCCATTTAACTTAAAATTAATGAAAGTTTTAAGGATTGGTATTTTGTACTAAGCTGATTTTCTTGTGTCAGTTTCTTGTCTTAGCAAAGAAATGAAGGAATTTAGGGTGGACAAGTATCACTGAATTCTACACACGCTGTTTCTAAATAGTGCCAAATGTAAAGTTAAGTTCCTTTGAAAGTAAAGTAAATGATGAAAACTATTGAAAGAAAAAAATTCCAGTAAGACTTCTTAATATCCCTTACCTGGAGGAATAACGATTGCTCAAGTATTTACGTCAAGCTGTATTTGGCTGTGGTTCCAAATGTGTTTCCTGACAACAACGGTTTGTGAAGCAGTTTTCATTTCTGCTCTCTGCCCTTTATTGTGCCAGGCTTTGCACATAGTGTAAAAGAATATCAGGAGTGAACCAACTGGAAAAGAATCAAGGGAGAGGCATGCAAAAATTAAGGGAGAGGAGTATCCTAAAGCAGAACTTCAGTAACTGACTATAAGCCATTAATTTTAGCACAGTGAGATTGTGGAAGGGGAGGAAAAGCAGGACTTTATTTGAGGAAATTGTGCACCTTTAGGTATAATAACATTGTAATAATATGAAACCACAGTCTGAGGTTTCTTACTCTATGGCCACAAGAATGAAGTATCTTGATTCTGATACATGGTTGCATACAGTTGCCCACTGTTTGAACTAGCCAGTTTTCTCCTTGATTTTGGAAGAACTTTATTCCAAAGGTATAAAGAAATAATCACTAAGTTCTTGAATGTTATGGGAAGTTTTCAGTTAATACAGGTGTTGGAGAGAAGATTGTGCAGTGAATGGAACTTCTGTGTTTTTATAGGAATACTTAGATCGGAGAAAAATGACTGAATTTGGCAGCATGGCTCTGATAGATGAAGGCACTGGAGATGAAGATGGTGTTGCTATTCCTCTTCCTGGAGTAAAAACAGGTATGGCTTTTGACCTTGCTGTCTTGTCTTTGCGAGGATCAAAATCTTTATTCTTAAAGTAGATGCCAGATATGAAGGCTTTCAACTGTCCAGCTCAGTTTTTTGTAGTATGCTTGAATTGTCTGGGGCTTCAAAGGCTCATTACATATGTACCACATTCAACGCTATCTGGAAAAACTTGAGACCCATTTTTATTTTCCAGTTCCTTGCTTAGCCTCTGATCTTTCAAATGACACAGCAAAATTCAGTCCCGCCACTTTGTTTAGCTTATTTTATGATCTCCTGTGCAGAGACCATATCTTTTAAGTGCCAAGTTTTGACATGTTCCACACTGTTCAGCCTAATTCTGACTATGCTGTTATCATTGATAGGTAGACCATGAACTTTTGGAGGCTATATTAAATCAATTTTCAACTTCTCTTTTAGGTGACATGAGTTCTCGACACTTCAAACCAGAAATAAGAGTAACTTGCCTGCGATTCTCTCCTACAGGCAAGTATTGATAAGTGTATGATTTATTTTTTCTCCTTCTGTGTGAAACAAACAGACAAGTAGAAGAGCAAAAGAGTGCAGATGCCTTTGGAGATGGTCTTTCTAGGTGTTACATAGTGCTGCTAGGTTAACAGTCCCATCTCTTACTCATAGATAATTAGGAAGCTTACGTATGTATTGCATTCAGCTGGTATTCTTCACAAGCATTGCCATTGCTGATGGGTCCATCAGTCATGCACTATTTTCTGTCATACATGTTGTAAGCAGCAGAGCATCATCTGTTTGTTGTTACTGTTGTGCTTGCATTCTAGAAAACCTAGCTTTGTTCTTAAAAAGTCTTACTTTTCTAGGACGAAGCTGGGCAGCTACCACCACCGAGGGTCTTCTTATCTATTCACTGGATGCTGGGTTAATTTTTGATCCTTTTGAGCTGGACATTGATGTTACACCCAGCAATATACGCAAAAAACTGCATCAGAAAGAATACACTATGGCTATTGTCATGGCCCTTAAGCTAAATGAAAAGAAGTTAATTCAGGAGGTTATAGAAGCCATACCTGGTAATGAAGGTAAGTGGATCTTCTGTGAAATTTGAGCTAATTGTAAGGAGAGATATTTAAGCCAAATAAAGTGAAGCATAAAGGGTAAAGTTTCCCAGAAAGAGGAAAAAAAGAGAACTTTCGAGGACTTCAGTCTTTTTACAGTTGCTAAAGACTAGGAAAGAAAGGATGATCTTCTGTTTAGGAAAAAAAAAAAAAAAGTTGACTTCCTGGTCTTAACTTGTTACAATTTTACCAGTCTACTGCATGGTCATCTAGCTACTTTAGAACATGGACTTTGATCAGGTCCAGATTTATGTCAGGTTTTGCATCCATGTAGATAAAGCAACTCTTGTTAGAAAGACTTACTAAATTTAACGTGACTTAGCAGTGTGCCTGTGTAATGAAGAGAATCAGCTGATGCCTGGGCTGTACTGTCAAGAATGTAGTCAGCAGATTGAGGGAAGTGATGAGTCTCCTCTGTTCAGTACTTGCGAGACTGTGTTAGGAGCATGGTGTCCAGTTCTGTACTATCTCATACAAAACAGATGTTGTTCTGGAGCATCCAGAAGGAGGAATTGGAAAATTATTAGAGGGCCAGAATACACAACAGCTGAGGAGATGCTGAGTGAGGGTGAAGCATGGAAATTTAGGTTGTTGAAATCCACTGTTAACAGAAGGAATGTGGGACTGTTTCTTTAACAGATAAGGATAGATTGACTTGAATGTTATGTGAAATGTTATGTGTTGGAGTGGCTGCAGAGAGTAAGAGTTTGTTATTTTGAGAAATAATTGTATATAATGAGATCATCATTGTTCTGAACAATTATAAATAGTGCTGCTTCATAGTGACCAATTGCTAACAGCATTCAGGTACTTTCTCTGTGAGCAGGCAGCTCTGGATCTTTTCAAGCATCCTTTATTGCCTCTTGATATTACACCTTTCTAGTTCCACTTAACTCTGCAAGAACTATAAAGTCAGGAGCAACAAGACTGTGGTTAAGATTACTTAAGGAGAGAAGGAGACAGGTAAAAGTTCTGGAGAAGAGATGGTGGGAGTATCCTGTTAGGGGGGAAAATGTTATTGCACATCTTGGGTGGTAGGAGGAGAATTAAATTCTTGTTTTTAAATCCAGTAGTGAGTGGAAAGCTCAAAAGGAAAGGCTTGCTGAGAGGTTTTGGTACTGTGCCCTAAAGTAGGATATTGAACATTGAATAGTTGCCAAGACCACATTCTTTCTTCTGCTTCTCCACATCCCTTCCTGTGGTCTCTTTCTTGTTATTCCAAACAGTAATTCAACACTAATGTCTGTGTATTTTTGTTTTGTTTGTTTCTTCTTCACACAGTTGATGTTGTCTGCTCATCGCTCCCAGATCTATATGTGGAAAAGGTGTTGGAGTTCCTGGCCTCTGCCTTTGAGATATCTTGTCATTTAGAGTTCTATCTTATTTGGGCTCATAAGTTGCTCATGCTGCATGGACAGAAATTAAAAACAAGGTGAGCTGCTGTGAAAATGAAAAAGCTGATAAGGATTTTAAAACTCCTTTCAGTTCAGGACTGAACTGGTGGACATATAGGTACACATAGGAATTGAAACAACTTGATTTTTACAGCTTCTCTACTAACAAGTGTGTATGAGAACTGGGTTGTGTTTGTGGGGATAAAAGCATTTTTCAAGTACTGCAGGTAAAACTTTCCATAGCTTGCTTAGTCTGTAAATGCATAAAGATTTCAAAAGCACTACTAGGATTTTGGGATTTTTTTTTTAATGATTGTGTAGTTAAATACAACTGAAGGATAACAAGCTTGTATTGGCTGCACTTTATAGAGTTAGCTTGTGATTACAGTGTGTACTGTTGACATTTTAGTAAGTGCTTTGATTTCTTCCCAAGTTCTTCAAAACTACATGGGCTTGTCCTGTGAATTGTATTCAGCCTTCCCTTAGTGTAGAGTTTGTAGACTTCTTGAAATAAAACCAGGTATACTAGAGGTATGATAGAGAGCTAGAGCCATCTGAAATAAAGTTCTGCAGGTTAAAGTAATAGTGCACTGTGTAACTCATAGCTTACCTCAAAATTAGTATTAATGGTTGAGTGTCTGAAATTTTTTCCTTTTTGTTTCTGTTAAAGTAGAAGTAGGAAGTTTAAAACAAGCTATTTGATGTTTGGAAAGTAAGTTATTACTTGGAAGAAATTGTTGTCATTGCAGCAAGCAGAATTTAGTTCTTCATGCCACAGCCTGACGTTGAAAACTGTTTGGCATTTGTATTTGTATTTAATTGTGATTATGTGTAAAATGTGATTGTTTGTATTTAAAAATAATCATTTTTGGCATAATCAAAAGCAAAAAGCTTTTGTTTGTCTAATGTTAAATTAGACAATGACACGTATGTTTGTTAAAGTTTTGAGAATATAGAAAAGTACTTGATTTTTACACATAAATACAAATTACAATGTGAGTTGTATGTTTTCTCCATTTAAGGTCACAGAAGCTGCTCCCCATGATTCAGTTTCTTCAGAAAAGCATCCAGCGTCACTTTGAAGATGTATCCAAGCTGTATGTATTGCTATATTTTAAAGTCTAAATCAAAACCCTTCACTGCACTGTTGAGTAATTTGAAGGACGATAGGTGTAGCATTAGAAGTTTCAAGACTCTCTTATTTTACAGATGTTTATGCTTTAGGAAAAAAAAAACATGATCTTGTTTCTTACATGTTCTTATTTTTACAGCTGTGAATGGAATATCTACAATATCAAATATGCATTGGCCATTTCAGAGCAGCGGGGCATGAAGCGTGTGGCAGAAACATCAGTAGATGAAGACGACTTGGAGTCTTCAGACAGTGATTATCTTATGCAAGAAGTTCATAGTGACAATTTCAGTTCCTAGTTATTCTTCATGGGAGAAAACCTAAGACAACGTAAATTTATGCAGTGGTATTCACTGGGACTGAGTGGCCCTCATAGTGGCATAATTTAGTTCTTTTTAACAGTGTGGGGTGGGCTTGCATGTGGATTACAGAAGTGGGAGAGATTTAGGAGTGCCACCTGAGCTTTGTGTAACCTCTGTCCATAACACCAATGACTGGTTGCTGATTTCTTCGTTTTTTTTCAATTGTTCTCAATTTCAGGTAAGATAAAAACGTGTTTTTATCTGTGAAGTTAGAGGTATGACTGGAAGAAATGCATACTTTATTAAAAACACATTTTGTATAGGTTAAGTATTGAGAATTAATTTTAATGTGGCCTTGTCATACTTTGTGATGGACTCTTTTTTACCTCTGTTTTTATGTCATTCTTAATGGGAGGGGCTGCTTATTGCTCTCAATTTGTTTGATTTTTTTTTTTTTGTTATAATACATGCATACTATTAAGCACTGTTAGGAATAAGTGGACCTGGTTTTCGTGGTTATGTAACTTCCAATCCTTGTTTCTTAACATGAAAATTGGAAACTTCTGTTTTCTTTGCTTTTAGGAATTGGCCTGAGAATTGGCTAATAATGACGTTGAGGTTCTGAATAAAAAGAACAATATCTGTATTTGTGTTGTTTTCAAGCCATATGTTGAAAGGGCTTTGATTTAAGGTGCAGCAAATAATAACAATGAGCCAGGATTGATTTTGTTTTCAGTATATTCTGTTCTTCTGGATTAATTTTCTGGTCTCTTTCTACTCTTGGAAAAGAGGTGTGAATATGGAAAAGTGTTGCAGAAAAAAAATAAGTTCAAAATATACACCAGACACATGCAGTCTGTTCTAAGATTTCAATATGTAAAATTAACATACACTCACGACTTAAATGAAGCATACCAAATGTTTTTATTTTTTTAATTATTTTTTTCTTTGTAGTAAAATGTTCAGAATTTTTTTCAGTTGCTGGTGCTCCCTTGCCTCTTGTTTTTTTCACAATCATGACAATGTTTCAGGGTTTCGGGGCAGTGGAGTGAGTTGCTGGACTGGAGAGACTCTTGTAGAAGCTGCTTTGTGTTACTGTTTTGGGATTTGGAATTGCTTCTCATTCTCTTCCACCCCTCTGCCTCCTTTCCCCACCATGGCAGAAAGTAAGTTATACAGAAGATAGGAATAGACATGTGTAGGGAGGAAGTAGCACAGAAAGAAGGGAAAAATTCATCTTGGGATCTGTGTAAATCCCTGCAGTGTTTAAGCTAACCCGGAGAACATATTGTGTCAGATAACATGATTGTGATTGTTACTTCTTATCTCAATTTACTGGTTTTCACAAGTTTCATGCAAGTCTTATTGTCAGACTTGTGGTGTTTTTTTTTTTTTTAAGGACTATATTCTTGTGAACTATACAACCCATAGCTCTAATTACTTTGGGGCTGTCATGACACTGGCTTTGTGTTATGAGTTTGCTGTACATTAAGCAGGCTAACTTTATCCCTACATTTTTAATAGTCTTTTGGGTTTGCAGTATTAGAAAGCACAAACCTGGAGAAAATCTGATCTTTCAGAGCACCTTAGAGATGTGACTCGGGGTATGTTCTTTATGTTCAAAATGTTAAAGATAAAAATTTCACAAAAGCATTCTTTACAAAATGCAAGAGCCTTGAGAGGAAGTGGGAGAGGTGGGATGGCATCTGTTCTTACACAAAAGGGTGTGTTCCATTCACATTTGTCACTTTGCTTGAACTGCAGCAAGCTGTTAGGTTATCAAGATGAATTCCATGATGCACGTGATAAAAATTCTCCCTCCTGATAAGGAAAGACACATTGGAAAATACTAGAAACTGAATGTTAAGTCTGGTAGGTCCAATCCTGGCCTAATCCTTGCACGTTAGCAAAACACGCAAGTTGGACACAAGCACTCTGTGGAGTGGGCTAAGCCTTGGAGCAGTGTCATTTCCTTACCTTCTGTTGCCACTTGAAACCAAGATATGCAAGATTGCAGGTGTGGTTTAATTTGATCTGATCCTGTATAGATGTATACTTCAACAGGAATGTTGTGAGAAACACTTGGTAGCATTATCAAAATGATTGTGGTACACCACGGGGAAACTGGGGAAAAGATACAGCACTGCTCATTGAATCATTACAGTTGGAAAGACCTTAAAGATCACCCAATCCAGCCACCAGCCCGTCGCACCACGTCCCTCAGTGCCACATCCATGCGGCTCTTAACACCTCCATGGACAGCGGCTGCACCACCTCCCTGGGCAGCCCATTGCTCTTCTGCAACAGCTGAGAGGTGTGGTGATCCTCAGCTGAGCTTGGCTGCAAGCACTGCGTAAGTTGTAGCACACAGGTGGTAGATACACACCAGTCAGTCCTATATCTATACATATCTATCCATCTCTGCGCTGGAACTTCGCATGCCCGCTGTTCACCTTCCCCGATGACTACTTAGCCATGGCCCTCCTCGCCCCTAGAGGGCGCCTCCAAGCCCCCAGCCGAGGGCGCAGCGGCCTCTCGCCGTGGCCCGCCCCCCGCGGCCTGCCACGCTCCGGCTCCGCGCTCCGCCAGCCCTCCGGCCTCGCTCCGAGCGCCCGCCACTATGCTGCCCGTCCGCGGGCCGGCCCTGTGCTCCGCGCTGCGGCGGGCAGCGCCCTGCGGCTTCGCCTCCTTCCACTGTTCCGCCCGCCGCCCCCGCGGAGCCCGCGTCGCGGTGGTGAGTGAGGCGGGGGAACGGGGCAGCGCAGCAGGGGGAGGAAATTGCTTTGTGTGCTGGTAGCGTCCATCCGGCCCCGTTCCCGTGCTGGTGAAAGGGCGGCGGGGCTCGGTGCGGGGGTGGTGGTGGGAGGGCTTGGAGTGCCGTCAGGCCTGGCTGGGAGGAGCTGCAGTTGAGCGGTAAAGCTGCTTGGGACAGGGTACCTCCGAGAGAGCGGTAGGAATTTACATAAAACTGGGCTTCTGTGCAGCCTGGAGTTGAGTTCTTTACGTAGAACTTCTTTGCAGTTAGGATGATAGAGCACTGGAAGAGGCTGCGCGGAGAGGTGGTGGAGTCTCCTTCTATAAACACCTGTCTCCTGTCTCAACACCTGTCTGTGTGACCTACTGTAGGATACCTGCTTTAGCTTGGATTTGATTAGCTCCTGAGGTTCCTTCCAACCCCCTGCAGTTCTGTAATTCTGTGTGTTACAGAGAGCTCAGTGTGAATGCTGACATTTTAGCAAACTATCACCCTTCAGATAGGGATGGGAAGCAAACCCACTGCCCACGTCCCTCAGTGCCACATCCACACGACTCTCAAACACCTGCAGGGATGGTGACTCCACCACCTCCCTGGGCAGCCTGTGCCACTGCCTCACGGGTCCTGAGAAGTGGTGCCTAATATCCAACCTGGTACTCCATTCCCTCTCATCGCTGTTACGAGGAAGTAGAAGTCAGCCCCCACCTCACCACAGCCTCCTTTCAGATGCTTGTAGAGAGCAATAATGTCCCTCCTGAGGCTCATCTTCTCCAGATTTGAACAATCCAGCTCCTTCACCCACTCCCCCATAAGATCTGTGCTCCAGACCCCTCACATCTGTGTTGGCCTTCTCTGGACTCACTCCAGGGCCTCATTGTCTTTCTTCTTGTGAGAAGCCAAAAACAGAACACAGCACTGGAGGCACAGCCTCACCTGGCTTTTTTCAGAACAGAACCAGAACTCAGAAGTGTTCGTATACATACTTTCAAGAACCAGAGAGCACTTCGGATTTTTTGTTTGTTTGTTTGTTCTTACAACCTCTTTTCTTTCCTTTTTTTCTCCTTTTTTTCTCCTTTCTTCTACTTTGTGAAAGACTCCCTCCAGCCATACAAGAACAGCTGATTGCTTTGTGCTTTTTCATCTCCTTTACGTTATGAGCAAACTGAAAGTAGTATTAGCATGGTAATAAAGTGTAGCTTATGTTTCCTAATTGGGTTGAAAGTGATTTAACTATTAATCGGTAATTTGGATCCTCAGACAAAATGCAGCAGCAGGTTGTCATAAGTGCCATAAGTGTGCTTCTAACCTACTTGGGTTTGATTTGTATCTAGGTAAGAACGTGTTTTGCACCTTAATGACACTTGATACATTGGGTGTATGGCACTCAGCCCACTGCATTCATTATATTGTGCCAGTTTGTAAACTCTGAGGAACAAGTACAAAAGCAAATAAAAAAACTCTAGTTCTCTTTAAGTCCTGGCTGTCTGGGATGGGTAGCTAAAAATAGGGAATGCCAATTCTGCTGTATGTCAAGTGGCAGTGCTGGGACTAATAGTGTGATGCTGACTGGCTTGGCAAAGAGCTTGTCCTGAAGTTATTTCAGTTCTCCTATTTATTTCATTTGTGTTTTTAAAATTTAAGAAGGACTGTACAAACTTTTGTATCACTTGAAGTACTTAATTTCCCTTTTGCAGGTCCTGTCTGGCTGTGGTGTCTACGATGGCACAGAAATCCACGAGGCTTCTGCGTAAGTTACCTTGTGAAACTGTGGGCTCAAAAGAAGTCTGCTTTACATTAGAGCACCCCACTGAATCCATTTTTGCAATCTCTGGTGTTGAACTTTCTCTGAAAGATGTAGTATAGTTTTCCTTCAGAGTCCTGTCATGGGTTTGTGAGGCTTTTGTCAAAGCATAACTGGGAGCTCGCATTGCATTCTTGCTACATGATCCCTGTCCAAAGATGCAGAGCACTGCAGGTGGTGCCAGAGCAACGAGTTAGAGACTCATTTTCCTTCAGAAACAGAAATTCAAGCATCCAGAATCGATTTCAGCAGAGATAAGTAGAGAGTTAGGTTCATAATTGTCTGGAGGTTTCATTCCTGAGGTTAAATTCAACGCTGTTAAATGTTAATTCTCAAGTTGAATTGTTAACTCTTACTATTTGTTAATAAGAGATCTTTCACCTAGATTCAGTGTGCTCCTAGTGTTAATGGTGGGAGTCTTCCATAACACCCTGGAACTTGCTATGAGAAAAGAAGTTTGTATGGTTCCTGGTTGCCTGGAGGGGAACACTGAGCAAAGAAACTTGTCTAGCTTTCCTAACCCATCCTCCAGACCAACTTTCTGTTCTACTCTGAACTTTGGTGTTAAACAGAGTGATTTTGTTCCCTCTTCTGCTCCTACTTTGGTAGGATGTGTTCTTTCTCTTTTTTTTAAAATCAGATGGAATGTTTCTAGCAAGACGTACAGGACAGATAAAGCCTCTCTCCTAAGGTTTTCAGCATGTTTTGTTTCTGTTTTTGTAGCATACTGGTACACCTTAGTCGTGGGGGAGCTGAGGTTCAGATGTATGCTCCAGATGTTCCTCAGATGCATGTCGTTGACCACAGTAAAGGGCAACCAGCTGAAGCTGAGTCAAGGTAAAGCCGTGTTAATGTGATTCCTGTGAGTCCTGGGTCTCCACCTTGGGTGTTTTTCAGAGGTAGCAGTCTGTAACTGAACTGGGAGCCCTTTGCTGGCTGGCTTTAATAGCTGGTGCTTTGCTGGAGATTAAAAAGTAATAATTATGGTGGGTGCTGATACATCAAAAGCATCTATAGCTTCAGTTACTGAGTGCCATGTTTCTCACTTCTCCCTTCCTCTGCCAAAACTTTCCTCATGCTCTTTTGTGTGCAAATGCTTAATTTGTGTCATTGTTTTATTTCTGGTTCTTGAAGGAATGTTTTAGTGGAATCTGCAAGGATTGCTCGTGGCAAAATCACTAACCTGGCTAAACTTACGACAGTGGACCATGATGCTGTGATATTCCCTGGTGGATTTGGAGCTGCTAAAAACTTGTGAGTGCCGATTAAATATTAAATTCCTTCTTCGTAATTCACACAGTAAAATCAAGGAGTAATAAATGGCCTTATTTAACACGTATGCAACTACTACTCAAAAAAGAAAACTCCATACAAATTGTTGAAGTTAGTGC